TTTTTTTTCACTTACATTTTCGAGTAATTTTAGTTTTTTAATTAGGTGGTATGGTATATTATTATTGGGCCGTTGGTTGAGTGGTTTAAAATATGTTTGCCGAGCATGATGTCGTAGATTCCATTAAGTCTATGTTAATTATCTTGCGTGTTTGTATATAGAGGTAAGTACCTACTAAATATAAACTACTAAATATTTTAAGTGTGAGAGAGCCATGCTTCGGCACGAATGGAACGGCTCGACCGGAGTGATACTGCGGCCTCACAGAAAACCAACGTGAAGCAACGCTTGCGTTGTGTTTCGTCGTGTGAGTGAGGTTACCGGAGGCCCAATTACCTTCCCCTTCCCCAATCTCCCCAATCCCTGAATCCCCAACGATCCTCAAACTCCTAATCCCCAAAAAGCCGGTGACGCACTTGTAACGCCTCTGGTGTTCTAGGTGTCCATGGGCGACGCCGATTGCTTACCATCAGGTGATCCGTCAGCTCGTTTACCGGCTTATGCCATAAAAAAAAATCATTTTGAAAGTGTATACTACCATTTTTATATATTTTTATATATTTGATGGGCCGACGTTTGGCGGTAAGCAATGATGCGGTCTACGATGGAGCACGTACAAAAACGTTTTGCCTACGTTTAGAATATTGATTTCAACCCCTCTTTTAGAGTCGGTTAATTAAACTGTCAAACACCAAGCGGTCACCGGTGACCGCAACCTATTGTTCTATAATTGTGTCTATAATGACGGTACTCGACGAGTTAATAAACTAAAACCTTATCCTCAGTGTCCCAAACACTTCTCTGATCGGAAATTCGGTTCAGCCACCGCCCGGATTTGACTGCACAGTTGGCTCGGTGGCTGGGCAACTGGCTGCAGCGCAACTGTCGTTCGATTCCCGCACGGAACAACTCTTTCTGTGATCCGCAGATTGTTATTCCGGGTCTGGGTGTCATGTGTATGTGAACTTGTATGTTTGTAAACGCACACATGACACAGGAGAAAATCCAAATTTGGGCTAACGGTTTTAAAAAGAAAGTCGTGAGTTAATCGTGCACAAACATATATACAGGTCAAACAGTGAACCTCTTTTTAGAAGTCACCATGATAGCCAATGACACCATGTGGCTTCATCGTCATCGTCATATCAATTGTAAGAAATCCAATGCCGAACATAAGCCTCCCCCAATGACAGCACCATAATAAGTCTTTACGACCATATATTTATTCAGAAAATACTATTATATTTTCTTTTAAGGAATAGGAGGCAAACGAGCAGACGGATCACCTGATGGTAAGCGATCAGCGCCGTTCATGGACACCCGCAACACCAGAGATGTCATAGCTGCGTTACCGGCCTTTTGAAAAGAATACGCTCTTTCTTCAAGGTTTGAAGGTTGTATCGTATAATATTACATTACGCCTTTTTATACCCGAAGATATAGGCAGATGTGCATATTACGGCACTCAAGGCCAATGTACAATGTAACCCACTTTTCACTGTTTATGTTATGAGTCCCAAAATATTATTAGTAGGGACGAAAAGAATTAATTTCAACGTCTTTTTCGATTACGTATATCCCTGCATTTTGTTCGACTAGATAATGAAAATCCTTGTTTAGAGTGTTATTTGTGATCAAACAACCAGTAATTATATAAAAACAATTAAATTTAATCTTAATGACAACCATGAAACAACCCAATTGTGATTAAAATACGCCTTGCAGTAAAATAAATACTGAATTCGGTAACAGCGCTATCTATTGAAAATTTTCTCGAACTACCAGAGTACGTATCAAACGAGGGTTGAGTTTTTCACTGCTGTGAAATAGATAAGCTGGCTTTTCGCGTATTACGAGACGTGGCTAAGAGATGGCGCCACTTAAATTACAAACTTTCTTTCAGAATCATGTTGAGGAAAGTTTTGTCATTTTTTACGTTGGCCATCACTACATAATATAAAACAAAGTCGCTATCCGCAGTCTGTCTGTCCCTATGTACGCTTAGATCTTTAAAACTACGCAACGGATTTTGTTGCGGTTTTGTTTAATAGATAGAATGATTCTTAAGGATGGTTTGTAATACATGCTTATTGCATCCGTGCGAAGCCGGGGCGGGTCGCTAGTGTAGTAATAAAATAGTAATAAATGTAACCATAATTAATCACTTTGTAACACTGCAAATTACTTAATAGAAAACGTTTTTGACATTTCGGAAACCATTATAATTAACTAGAGAAATAACATAACATCACGCCTTTTATCCCCGAAGGGGTAGGCAGAGGTATACATTATGCAACCGTACAATGTAACACCCACTTTTCACTATTTATGTTATGAGTCCCATGTAATAGGGGGTGAGCCTATTGCCATATACCGGGCACAATTCCAGACTCCGTTCTACTACTGAGATTTTTTTTTAACCCGTCGTGTGCCGGAACGTATATCTACGCGAGACACAATGCATTTTCTATTGTGTCTTATATACCTGGTAAAAAAAGTACAGTAAGTAAAGTACCAGTAGGTACCAGACCTACTGGTACTTTGCCCGACACGGGTATCGAACCCGAGACCCCTTGCCCGGCAGTCGCACTTGCGACCACTCGGCCAACGAAGCAGTCCATATATTAAAGAAAGTTCAATATCTACTATGTACTGTTAAATTTCTAATTAAATATATTAAAAGGGATCATAGATAAGCAGACAATGTCACTTATAGTTATTTGAGTTGAAACTTTTAAAAACTTTTACTATAACGCCTACGGACAATTCCTTAAACTACACTTAATCGATATCCATCGAGTATCGAGGACATAATCCCAAAACCTTTTTTTCAACCTGTCAATATTTGCGCATCACATCCGATACAACAAGCGCATAGAAAAACAAAAC